AGAGAGATCTTCTCCTTCTCTCTTTAGCAATTCAACAGCGTTACCAGCTTACCAAATCCTTCGTGGTTTGGGCCCTTGACAACGCGTCGTAGATAGCTCTTCTTCTTTAGCTTTGCAATAAATGAAAGTGGTTCTCGTAACTTCTGCGATCAAACCGTCTCACGAAGAGCAGGAATCCTACGAAAGCAGGCTGTTCCAGCAGCTATTTTATATGATTTACAATGATGATCTCTTCCCCAAAAAGGGAGATAAAAAGGAGTATAGAATCGAATACAGAATGAAACAGTGCTGAAATACCAAGAACCAAAGATATCCTGTGACAAAAAGGTCGTTACAACATGCTCTTCCTTCCGTTCCCGCAGCGTTAGCAACAGTATCCGTTGAGTTTGGTTGGACCGGGTTGGTACCAAAGTTAGGTGGAGGAATGTTTGGATCTGGGCCACTATTCGACTTAGAGTCTCCCGCTCCCGCTCGGCGTGGATCAGGGCCAACGGGTTCTTGAATCCAATCGCGCGGTATCTGGGTAATGAAGTCATACCAGTAGTGACCCATTTCGCGATAGCCTTCGTCTGCTGGGTGAATGCAGTCGCGAAGCTGGCTAATGGGAAAGGTTGTAAAATCCACAGCAATGACCTTGTGGCCTTTAGAAGAATACTGCTGAGCGATTTTGGCAACTAATAATTGATATCTCTGAGTCTGAGGGGCTTGACTTGGATCGCAAGTATTGATGATCATTGCAACCATGATTATAGCATCTGGGCATAGCGCAATCATCTGGTCAATAAGGTTTCCTAGGCGCTGAGCGGCACCGGAGGGATCATTGCCTTCCGTTGAGATTGCAGAATTTTCGGTCATATCATTAGTCCCCAGATGTAGGAGAATGATATTTGGTCGTTGTTCCAACGAAGGTTTAACATGATCAGTGACATATTGAATAGTTTTCCCTGTCCAGGCCGCCTAAGCGAACAGCGGAGTTAGTCGGCTTCTTCTGGGCATATCCAATATCAGTACTTAAGTAAGAATTGTCACATACAAAATAACCATCAGCCATGCCGCCAGAAAACTCTGTCCCAGCAAAAACAACATTGTCGTCTAGAGGAACTTATTAGCTGGGTACATTATCTTATGAGTAGCCAGATATTTCACTTACTAGATAAATTGTTACGGAGCTGAAGTCTATAACCGTTCCCATCACCACTCGCGGCTCCTACGGTAATTGAGTCACCAACGCAAAGGATCCGAAGCTTTGTGCCCGGCTTGACCCCCTGGCCGGGTGTAATACCCGTTCGTTCTAATAGAAGTGGCACTACGGACGTGTTAAGAGACAGTTCCACGTCTCTTCTATCGTGTTTAGTTAGCACTGCTAGAACTGACTGAGAGACCGTAGTATTGCGCGGTTGAAGTCGAGCATCGATTACACGTAGGGACACCGCTTTAATAGTAGGACAAAGGAGACAAAGGACTGCTATAGTATTAAGTAATGCCTTCATTCTGACAGCGACTGGGCAAATTTTTTAAATAATGATGACTAGTAGAACTGATTGTCAACTCTTGCATAACATGGGCGTGGTGGGCGTGGTAGGCGTGGTGGGAGTGGTAGGCGTGGTGGGAGTGATGGTAGTGATGGTAGTGATGGAACACTAACATCGAGGCGTGGGCGTGGTAGGAGAGGTCGTGGGAGCGGAGAGACAGTAATTATAGCGAGAAGAGGGCGGCTTTCATTAGATTGATCTGACCAATTAAATCGGTAGAAATGCTGTATCCCGTGGAGATGTAGCTTGACGCTGAAACAGGGGCATCACGATGCATCTCAGTGGCTTAAAAGTGGCTTAAAAACGCAGGCATGTCGATTAGCAGATTTTCCGAATTGGACCAATCAGTGCGCAGAATTTTGGAATCGCGTGATCTATTTCGCCCAAGGAGGCCATAGGAGGGATTGGGGGGGCCATTATAGCATTTCCCTAATTAAATTGTATTACAGGTACGAGGCACGAAATCCATCCTGTATCTTAATCCTTGTCCAAGGGATTCGTGTCTAGACTACCATAATCCGGCTTTCGTATTCGTGCCCACCGGCAGGACTGTAGGGCATCCTTACTTCGTGCACGGTCCCCAATAATGCACGATTCGGTATCGCGAGATTGAGATGGAAATTAGAATATCTTCACCAATATGAATTAAATTATGCTCGCTCTTGCTGCGTTAGCATTAGATAAGAAACTTAATTATACTAAGATTGTAAATGAGTTTAGAATCAACCGTACGACGTTGTCTAGGAGGCATCGTCAGATTACCACCTCAAGGACCACAGAGTGTTACGGCACGGTAGCTGGATGCACACAACATACGCGTAGCCAAAGATATTCTAGATTGAGATGAAGAGTACAAGGTAGCTGTGACAGAGGAATCTTGATGAGGTTCCATCTCTACGCTAGGTTTGATTAGGATTAGGCTCTCAGCCTATGCCAACCATGGGCCATGCGAGAGAGAGAGAGAGAGATTCATACGCCCGTCAGGCCTCTCGGCGAGGCCCATGTGGGGAACTACCTAAGCTGACTAATTACATACGTTGGTGCCTTGTGGCTTTGTGCCCCATTTTTCTATCTCCTTCTTCTATCTTCTCTAATTATCTGCTTCTAACAGTGACAGTCTTGGGCTTCGCCCAGTCTGTGTGTTGTGGCCTTGCGGCCTAAGGCAGAAGGGATGGGTAGACCGTTTGCCCACAGATGTAAATAGCAGATCGCAGTGAGAGAGATCTTCTCCTTCTCTCTTTAGCAATTCAACAGCGTTACCAGCTTACCAAATCCTTCGTGGTTTGGGCCCATGACATTGGTGTCTAAAACAAATCATTTGCTAAATTAGATGCTATTTAACAGAGCCCGTTTTGGCAGAGCCCGTTTTGACAGACCTGTATACATGAAAATCGTACATAACATCGGAACTCCTAAGCTGCTTGCCTATCATTATTAAGGTAAGAGTTTTTCTAGGGTTAGGCCTTGTCTACTTCGCAGCTGGCAGGTTTAAGAAGCAGGGACCAGGTGGGCGTTTTGGCTTTTCTATTATTAGAAATCTGCCAGAACGGCCAATGTCTACTACTCACTGGCAGGTTCGGAAGCTGCAGGTTCTTACTCTGTAGTCATGTTGCCAAGTCAAGATGTGTGACTTCGCGTAATAGCTTCAAGTTCCAAACTGACCTCTCTTATTAGCCATCCACCCTTCCCTTTTCATAACTATTTTATCATCATGGGCGCAAAACGAGCCATCAAGAAGATCCAGGCCCAGATCGAGTTCGAGAATATGGATCCAACGTCTGAGTCGGATGCTATGGCGGAGGAGAAGTCATTATCTCGTCGAAAGAAGAATCATACTCCGAAACCTACCAGAGCTACGAAAGCGGCGAATAAGAGGAGGAAAACACCAACTCCAGAGCCACCTATATCTCCCGAAGTTAATGATGAATCTGAGGCAGGAAGCCGAAGGTCAGATAGTGAAGTCCCGTTTGAAAGCTGGAGTCAAGAGGAGTCGCCTTCACACCCTCCACTACAGCGACCTCAGCAGCAAAATGAGGCCAAATCAACGCAATTACGACCTTCGAGTTCTCCTCCTCCGAAACGCAAATTTCCTCTTCCGATTACAGTACACCGTCTGCCTGACCAGCTATCGGCTTCGCAAATTATCGACCGCGGGGGCTCTGCTACACCAGCTCCCAACAATGGCAAGGCTCCGAGACTGCGCTGGACTGTCACTATGGAGGAGGAGATGTTGCAGGAGCTAAAAGTTGTCAATCAGGAAGGAAAAGGTTCAGATGGCGGCTTTAAGAAGACGATTTGGGAACAGGTTGCTAGACGTGTGGGTAAAGCATATTCCGGCCCTGCGAAGGTTGAGTTCAAGAACTGCAAATCGAAGTTTGAAGATACTTACAAGGCAGATTGGTCTAAATGGCAAGAGCACCTTGGCAACGGACTTAGCGGATGGGGTGACGATGGTGAAGGGCTACCTCAAGCTGATCCTGAGACGATGGATCGTTACTTTAATGCCCGTCCTCATCTAAAGAAGTTGCGTCATAGCAAACCGAAGTTTCACGATTTGCTACAGGATATTCTTGGTGATAGGATGGCGACTGGGGCCTTTGCAAAGGCGTATGACGATGAAGCCTTTCAGGTGGATTCTGACTCTATGGAAGAGCGCTCGGATGAGGAAGGTAACAGTGAGAGCGATTACGGTATATTCGGGTCGGCTGAAGCTTCACGGTCGTCATCAGTTTCGACTGAGCTATCGAAGTCCACTTCTGGATCGTCCCAGAAGATTAAGAAACGTTCAGAGGATGCTAAGAGCTTTCGAAAGTCGATTGCAGAGAAGGAGGCAAAACGCCGCAAGCTAAAGCAATCGAAATCGTCTCAGATTATTAACAGCCTCGGTAACTTTAAAGACGAGGCAGAGGAGCTTGTAAATAGTATGATGAAGGAGTATAGGGCGGCGAACGAGAATCTAATTCGAAAGGCAGTTGCTTTAGCAAAGAAAGAGCTTAGTTCAAAGTGGCGAGATACGCAGCTATTTCAAGTTTTTGACCTGCTTCAAAATGAGGCAAAAGCAGACACGTTTCTAGAGTTAGATGATGCTGAACAGAGGGTTAGCTGGGTTGAATACGAGCTACAGAAGGCCGGCGTACAGTTCTGAGGTCTAGAAGAAGAGATCTATTGAGTTATACTTTGTATATTGTTAGATTTTTCTCGTCAGATTCTATCGACGGTATTGAAGGCGTTTGAGAAGTCTAACGACGTAATTCTACTGTAAACAAAATGGTTTGAACGGACTTTGGTAGATCCGTTCAAAATTGTATGGGAGCATGGCATTTGGTCCGTGCAGGTTTGTATGTAGGTCCGTTCAAAACTTCAACTTGAACGGATGTACACCGAAACTGGGTCAATTCAGCTTAAATTTAGTAGACTCGCCTGCACCAATAAGGGCTTCTAGTTGGCCAAGTTTCGAGGTAAATAGTCATAGTTTCATTGAAATATAAGCAGTCAATGTTATTGCCGAGTTTGATGGGGTTCCGGGACGATTGGTCTAAGCGTAGAAGTAACAGCCACTGCCCACTGCCCACTACTCACTAGCCACGCCCACGGCCTACCCCATCACATCAAGGGGCGCGGGCCGAGTCTAAAAGCGTGCCCGGGGAATCCATCCGACTGTGATACAATGTGATAGATGCTATGATATTCAGAGGAGGCGTCGATACGAAAATAAGTAGAGAAATAGTAATATAGTAGGCGCTGCGTCCCGTCAGTACAGGTAAGCGTTCAATTTCTATCCATCCATTTTATTTTGCGCCAGTTTCCCGTTTATTCAGTTCATCGCATTGAGTATCCCGTTATAAGAGCAATGGCGAGTCCCAACGAGTATTTTATACGTGTCCGATTCGGATTAATCGCGTATAAGGAATGTAGGTATACTGTATGGCCGAGTGACGTCGTAAGCCATTTAAGCGGGCCGTACCACCGACTAAAGGGCACAGAAAGTCAAGAGATCGCAAGAGCGGTTCGTCGTTGGCGCGGATTAGTCCATGGCCATCGAGAATTCCAGGTTCCCGATGCCATTGAGGAGCCCATCGCCGCGTTACCGTTATATGAAGATGGGTTCATATGTCGGAAAGACGGGTGTAAGCGAGTTTTCCGGGGACGGGATACTATAACCAAACATTGGCGGACCGAACACGGTTGGACTATTAGTGGGAAACATGGACGAGGGCAAGCCGGTCGGCAGAATTAGGCTGCGAATATAGCGGCACAGAAACGGTTCGACGAGGCGGCCGAGAGGGTATTATGTCAGCGGTTTTTCCCCAGCCGTCATTATTCACAGTATTTCCGCATTACCCCACACGTTCTAAGCCAGACGCCGCAGGAACGGATCGATTCGTAGAAGCGGATTCAATAGAAGGCCGAGCAAAAGTTCCAGGAGATCGAAAAGCGTATTCGAACTAATATCGAGGCCGGGGAGAAGGACGAGGCGAATCCATAGTTAGCGTGCAGTGGATGGCAGAAGTATTTGGGTGACTTAGACCGGGAGGATTTGATGGCGTCGGTGGCCAAGCCCGGCGATGGTGGGGAAGAGGCGGATCCATTAGAGTAAACGGTATGGAAGGCTATGACGGACGTTGCCCGGATCAGTCAAGAAACCGTGTTGAAAACCGGCATGTTTATCCGGCTAGAAGCCGTTCGGACGGAGGAGCATCAGACAAAGTACGTGCCGCTGTCATGGGCCCAAACCACGAAGGATTTGGTAAGCTGGTAACGCTGTTGAATTGCTAAAGAGAGAAGGAGAAGATCTCTCTTACTGCGATCTGCTATTTACATCTATGGGCAAACGGTCTACCCATCCCTTCTGCCTTAGGCCGTAAGGCCACAACACACAGACTGGGCAAAGCCCAAGACTGTCACAAAAGGTCTCTCCTCCCTTTTAAGGAGGCCGTCTATCTCCTGCCCTTAACGCTTCGGAAGCAATGTTTCGGCCCGTCTGAGCTTCGTAGTCATCTAATGCGACAGTATCTTAAACCATTGCGATATCCTCCTACGTCGGGTCTACGTAGCCGGTCTATTGGCACAGGCATTAGCGCTTCAGAGGTCCTCCTCGGCCTCGGCCGCGGCCTCGAACGACTCGGTCCGCCAGGATCTTTTCGAGCTCCTACTCTTTTTCGCTATCTACCAGTATTAGGTCTAGTTAAACATCGTCTTAAACTTAAGTCGGGAAGGGATTATCTAACGTAGGGCGGAGAAGCGACTCGTGGAAAACGTTATAACGTTCCCCTGGTGTGTCAAGCCGATAGGCGCTTCCTCCGATGGCTTCTAAAACCGTGAACCGGTGGTGGAGCGGGCTAAGCTTTTTCTTTCGTAAACGGTCACTCTTCTAGTAGCGGATGTCGAGCCAAACTTTATCTCCTACTTAGTATTTCGGGGCTAGGTCCCGTCTCCGATTCGCGATATCTTCTTATCGTTATTACGCGTGAGCTATTATAGTCGATGCGAACTCGTGGTACTATTTCAGTTTCCGGACTATCTCTACTCCTTTCTATTCCTTGCTAGTTAATAGCGCGTTATCGTTAGGGTTCGGGTCTGGCAGCTAGAGAGAGTCTCCTAAGTTCGGGTGATACCCATGGCTTAAGAAAAACGGGCTTATTGCTGTCGATGAGGCCGTTCGTGCGAGCACGGAGGCTTGAAGAGTT